AGACCTTAAACACGGTAGGACCAACACCTCGGCCCTGGCAGATCATTGTTCTAATTCAGTAGGCTCACATGCCATTGACTTTTCCAAGACAGAGGTTCTTTGTAAGCCATCTGGCTTCCATGAGAGATTCGTTCATGAGGCTATGCACATATACAAGCACAGAGACAATTTCAACCGAGAAGATGGATTCTATCTTAGCAATCATTGGAAAGATTTGATAAACCATTTCAGGTCTTAATTGATTGTTCACGCTTACAGTGGCTTTCAGACAGCATACATTATATATATAAACAAAAAATTCGTCTCCCCCCTCCTCTTTTCAGAATATAGATGGACTAGTCCTGGGTAAACTGCCAAATCGTTGCGCGTGGCGCTAACGCTTTTTTTTATAAATAAATAAATGCGCCGTTTAAAAATAAATTTATGCGAACCAACACACCTGAAGACGACCGTTTGAGTTATGGTCGAAACGTCGTGAGAATTTTTTATTGTTTTATATATATTTTATTATTTTGTTGTTTCTCTTCAACGTGACTTTACCGAAAAAACTAAGAATATGAATTATTGCAGTCACGAAAGCTTTAAATCAAAATTTAAAGACGGTCACTGTATCATGCGGCACTTTTAGACGAGCTGCGGATGTCTGGGAACGCTCTTCATTCCTGTATTAGGAAGCCACTGCAGCTATACACTTTTAAAGATAAATTGAAAACGAATTTCTTTAGACCAGATGTTTCTGTTTAGTTTGTTGTCTTTGCCCCGCAACTCTGATTAGCAGTTGGCTACGTACGGTGTGAAAGAAACTGACCGTACATACAGACACGTGTTTAATACCGAGTGTACTGTACGACTAAATGCACACGGTAGCAAGAGCGCACTTTATGAATGGAATGAAGTCATTATTCACGAATGTGAGTAATTAAGTAAACAGCCAAAGAGTGTGGCAGCAGTGGCAAAGATGGCTAGGCACCACACTGCTCTACGAACCGGGCACACATGAGTTCAATTCCTGGCCATGGCCACAACAATAAACAATGGCGAGCGATGTCAGGGCTTGTTGCCCGCTACCTTTACCGACCCGCACCGAGCACCCGTGGTGGCATGTGGTTAAACAACCCCAATGCTGGGGAGGCCTTCATGCAGCAGTGGATTGGCCATGGGCTGTACAGTATTATTACTTTTTCGCAAATAGCCATTTTAACCGTTCATTTGCAGCGCTTCTTTAACATGTTTAATTTCACTTCTCAGATAACTGATAAACTTGCCAGATGTTTGTAAAAACAAAACAAAGGGCAGCGTACTTCAATCGGGAGTATCGTTGGTAGGGCTATTTTAATAAACACAATAGACAGGAAGGACAAGTTCAAAGGCCTCGCATAATGTACATGCATAATGTACGTTGCCTCAGTAATCACCCTTCCCCACATTGTGCAAGAGCACAGAAGGGTGGTCAACACATCTACGCCTCTATATAGGGAACGAAACAGTAAGACTTCTCCACAAATCTGGCTGTCGCCTGATGAAGCTAGTTGTAATTACTGGCGAAACGTCGTACTCAGATTGTAAATGTTGTGGCTTGGCTCTCCAACACACCTGTGGCTGTTCTGGTGGCGAAGAGGCATGTCCTGTTTACGTGACAACCCTTACGAGTTGGCTGTGTCGGGTGATGGCGGGTTTTAACGACACATATATTTACGCGATCTAACCCAAAAAAACTCAATTATGAAAAAGAATTAAATGAAAAATGTTAAGTATTTAATTATGCCAATGTATACAATTATCCCAATGTATGTAATCGTGAAAATTTGGCAAAATTAATAAAATAATCAAACGTGTGTCAAATTATTTGAGTGTAAGTGTAATGTGATCAATCGTATGTGTGGTTAAATGTGTGTAAAATATTACGTGGAAATGTATGCATATCATCTATGTGTGTGTGCTTGTATCGGAGTATTATTAATGTGTGTGTGTGTTAGTTTGTATAAGGATCAATATGTGTGCGTGTGGTTATGTGTTTTATTATTGGCTTGGCTTCGTGATCTAGGGGTGTATTCTGTTTCTATGGTTATTAATGATTGATGTGTGTGTGTGATGTGATGCTCGGATTCGTCGTCTAGTGGCGTATCGTGTATGTGTGACGGTGTGTGTGATGCTTAGCTTTGTTGTCGAGGGGTGTATTGCCAATCGTGATAATACAATGATTCTCGCTTGCACTTTTCCTGATTATGATTCTCGCTTAAACATTTACTGGTTATGATTTTAGTGTAATTATGTCCGGTCTCAGGATTCAGATCTCGCCGCAGGATATAGTCCTTATAATTAAGATAATGATGCATGCACTTAGGAAGGAACCACTCAGACTCTTCTGTGTTAAGCAACTTGAATATATATTAAAAAAACTCTCTAATATGCGAACACACTAATGGTCGGAATTACCACTACTCATATATCCGTAAATGAAACCCCAATGGTTAGGTTGTTAAACTGAGCAACAAAACAACAGGCTAACTCCTCGTAGTAGCGTGACAATACACGATAGAAAATTCCTTAAAAATGACAATATTCATACGGAACCATGCTCAAGAAACATGTGCCCAATTGGTAAGATAATGCAATTCAAATTAATATCCCGAAACAATAGTGTACATGCGCGTGTGTAGGTTTGGCTAATAGATGCTTATCAAATGGTTAGTGGACATCAATGAATTCATTACAATGATTTTGAAATTAAAAGAAATATCTCAAAAAATAATATTCATGCGAGTGTGTAGATTCATGACGTAGATGCTTATAAATGTTTAGTGTGACAACAATAAATTAATTCGTAAAATTAAGTGATGAAAATAAAACGAATGACAAATACTTCTAAATGACCGTGTTCATGCAACTCAAGGGACAGGACAATGCTTTTCATAACCAGCTAATTAACTCACCGCCTTGGAATGGTAACCCTTTTCGAAGCAAAAAAAGCTCTTGGAACAATCTTTTTCGTACCGAAATGCGCATTGTATGTGTGTTGGAGGGCAGTCACCATGAGGTCTAATAATTATAGTGGGCACTATGCACTGGCGGAGCCAGTGGGGGGGGGATGGGGGTGTGGTGGCCCGTGCCCCCCAATGATCCAATCGAAATCCCTATTTTCGATCGGTTCATTGGGGTTTATTAGTAATAAATCGACATTTTGCCACCCCCAATAGCATTGTGTAGCATATTATTGCGTGCAGGGGCTCTGAGATGATAGGGCAATAGTTTGAGTCCATAATTGGCAATAACGGCAAAGAAGTTATAATTGACTCAGAATTGTGCGCAGTTGCGTATACAGTACACGACTTCCCTGAAGGCATTCACCTTCAGCGAGTGTGATGCTGATCACACAGGTTCTAATTCGACCCTCGATCGATGGCTGCGCCATCGCCACACACACGTCGAATAAAAAGTAAGGGACAAGTCGTTACTAACAACGCCTATCATTTTTCAGTGCTGGATTGTTTCCCCCTACCTGAAAATCCTGGCTCCACTATTGGCAGTATGTTTTGAGTTGTCCACATACTATCTCTGCTGTGTTTCTGGGGTCCGAGTCAGCACACTCGTGGTTAGTGGTTAGCCGCTGCTCTGCTGGTCCTGTGAATAACAGCTGGCTTGCGCAACCACCCTTGTGCCCCCCCTCTTTCTCCAGGAGGGCTTCTGCTTTGAGCTGCTTGTCACTGCTCCTCACTCACTCTCCAAAACTCATCAAATGTATTTGCACACCTCTTAGTTTCTCACAACTCTTATAGCTTAGTACAATACAACTTCTCGCAGTCCTTGACTCTGCAATCGACTCATAACATGAGAATGAATGTAGAATAAAACTTTCAGAGATACTCTGTCAGCGCCGAACTCAACACTTAGCAACACATCGCCCCTCTCCTCTGCAAGACTCGACACCCATAGTTGATTTCGAGGACCATACCCCGGAGCTTGCCATTGCAAGACTGATTTGTATGGCTTGGCTTTTTTGTTGTAGTCGAAAGTTTTGCCTCGGCTCGTCTTCTCACAAGGGACCAGAACTCCTTTGATTTTGCTCCTCGGCCTGTGATTGGTCGGTTTCCTCTAACGATGGAACAACTGTCCTTTTGAGTGACCATTTGGCCGGTGTACGTGTGTGTGTGTCTGTTCTAATTTATTGAAGTTATTTCCTAAGTCACATCAAGGCCTGAACAATCTCATGGCCTGTGGACACAGATGCTCTCAAATGCCCCTAAGTGTAATCATTCTAGCGTGAGAGGGGGGTTTCATTTTGGCCTTTTGTTGCCTCAAGAGAGGAGTTCACAGGTATCTGTCACGGCATTTTTTTTGTTTGGAACTCGCTGAATCTATATATAAGGAAATCTATTACATAAAAAAATAGGGAATATCACTCTTAATATAAATTATTGGAAAAAGGCATATATAAAACATCACTCTCATCATCGCCGTATCATTGTCACGGTATCACTGCTGTATCGTTATCATGGTATCATCATCGCCGAAATTGTTGTCACGGTATCACTGCTGTATCGTTATCATGATATCATTGCCGTATCACTGTCACGGTATCATAATCGCCGTATCGTTGTCACGGTATCATCGCCGTATTGTTGTCACGGTTTCACTGCTTATCGTTATCATGGTATCATCATTGCCGTATCCTTGTCATGGTGTCATCATTGCCGTATCGTCATCATGATATCATCATTGCTGTATTGTCACGGTTTTCATCATCACGGTATCGTCGTCACGGTTTCATCATCATTACCATTCCATTGTCATGGTATCATTGCCATATAATTGTCACGGTGTCATCGCCATCTCGTCATCACGGTACATCATAGCTGGATCGTCATCACGGTAACATCATCACCATATTGTCATGGCGCTATGATCAGCTCTGTATTGTTTTCACAGTATCATCGCCATATCGTCGTCACGGTATCATCAACGTTATTACCTTATCATCGCCATATTGTCACAGTATCATCGCCGTATTGTCATCATGCTATCACCATCGCTGTATCATTGCCATGGTATAATCATTGCCGTATCTTTGTTACAGTACCATCATCGCCATACCGTAGTCACACTATCATCATCACCGTATCATTGTTGTCATGGTGAACCCTAGCCGTAGCTGCCCGACACGGTGATGTGGAAGAGGCTGCCGGGGATGCAATCATCGCCCCACTTGACGATGAGGATGGAGTTGCCCATCTCCGTCACCGTGTAGGTGACGTTGTAGATGACGTTGCCCGTGTGCTTCATGGCATGCGGGGTCCGTTCACCCCCATCATCAGCATGTCGGTGCCTGTTGGAAGCGGTGGGGGGAAGATGGTGGTGCAGTGGTTAGCGTGCTGCGCTACAAACCCGGCGACCTGATACTCCGATATCTGAGCCGGACCTGTGCCTTCCCTAGGTTGACTCATTCTTAAATTAGTACCTGGTGTGGTGTGTAAAGCATCAGCCCTGTCGAGAAAAAGGCGGCTGAGCGTGGTGCTGGCCACCCACCCTGTCCCCTATCGACCTTTTTAGGTGATCACGAACAGAATTTTCCCTGTCTCCAGGGGGGCCTTTGTGGTTGGAAGGGGGGACTGGCATGGTGTGAGCGGGAGGGACATGAATTACTCGGTGTGAAAGGTTGGATTTAGTGACTCACATGTTGGAAAGTGTTGCAGGATACATGCGTGTGTATGACTGTTCTCCCTGGTTTTGCAGTTGACAGAGCTACATGTTATGGGTACAGCTAGCTCCTAGAGAGGAGCTGTGTCTGTGTTGAAGTTCGTCTTCAGTGCAACACCGAGATCTCCGAAAAAGAAACGTGACAATCGCCAAGCCCACTTAAGCACCTCTCCAGGATGGAATTTATGCTGTGAATGTGAGGGTTGGCAGTAGCTCTAATCGGCGGCACACCTCGTGGCAGAGCCACCCACTGCCACCTTCACAGTGGAGATTGGTCGACATTTTGGCGTGCCATAGCAGAACCACTGACTAGAGTGACCACCACACAGTCGTGAACCTCTATGGGAACTATGCGAGTCTGTGAGTCTCTTTATGAGTCTATTAGTCTCCATGTGAGAGTTTGTATCATCACACCCTGTTCCCTTGTGAGTGGAACCTCAAACTCGCACACAAAACCCCCAAACCCCACACACAAAACCCCCAAACCCCCAATACAGAACCCCCAAACCTCCCACACGGAACCCCCAAGACAGATGCCCCAAACCCTCTCTACAGCAGGGACGTGCGGTCAGGGAAGGCAGGGAGGCAGAGCCTCACCTGTCATAATCCAATGTAAATAGCGGTTTCGAAAAGTAAAAAAAAAGAATAATCTAGTAAATAAAAAAATCTCCAAATTTGCGAAGCTCCACTGCAAATACAAGAAGAGAAGAGAGGTGAGGCAGCGACGATCTCAGCCTTCCCTCTGATTGCGCAACCCCTCAGTAACTGGATTGAGCTCGAACAATAAGCGCGTGCCTGTTACAATCTCAGTATGTCACCAATGTAATGGTTGCAGACCCCTTCATTTCATGTTCTCGCCTTCATGTAACTTATTTCACGTATATGTATGAAGATATCTAGGCTCGCTGGTCTCGTCATGTAACTGCAATGAAAAAGCACCAGGGGAGGCAGCTATCACATCTGCCTCAGTGACGGGGACGTATCTAACACGCCCCCCTCAGTTAGGACACGCCCGCTCAGTGAGGCCACGCCCCCTCCGTAAGGCCATGCCCCCCTCAGTGTCTGAATCAGGCCCTGACACTAGCCAGTGCCTCACCAGCCATTGACCTCACCTCATGTCACTGCACTACAGATTCCCAAACCCTCCACACAGAACTCGTGAACGGAACCCTCCTGGTTGTCCCTCATCTCAACCCCCCCCCTTCTTTTCAACTTCATGCAATTTCCTACTCTGTCACACGCACTTTCACAATCTACATTTCATTCTCACGTTCACTGTTTCACTCTGTCCCTCACATTATCTCTCCCAATTTCACCCTCACCATCACATTCACTCTCATACTAAATCTCTCTCTAAATCACTCTTTCACTCACTCTCACACTCACTCACATTATCTCTCCCACTCACTCGCATACTCACTGTCTCACTCTCATTCTCACACTCACTATCTACTCACACTTACTGTCTCACTCAATCTCTGATTCACTTTCACACTCAACATCACACTCACTCTCGATCTCTCACGCACACTGGTCAATATAACACTCACTAACTCTTACACACACTCACTCTCACTGATACTCACTCTCCCACTCACTCTGACAATCACATTCACAAACTTTTTCACTCAAGTCTCACTCACCACTTACACCACGAATGGTTGGGGGGACACGTGGCCACTCGTTGAGTGGGAGGGGTCTGAGGGTCTGACGCAACAGAGACAGAGGGGCGTGGCCATAGCCGTGGAGGTGAGTGACGTCACTGCACACGTGACTCCAGTGTAGTGAGACGTGCAGAGAAGGTAGCAGCACTAGCAGCACAAAGAGCCGAGCTCTTGTTGCTATTCTTTACGGGGAGTGCAGACGAGGAGGAGGGTGCACAGTGAGATTCACGCTCACACACTTTCAGACTCGCTGTTTCACTCTCAAACTCTGTCTCATACTGTATCACTCTCACATACTGTCACATTCACTAATTTACTCATTCTCACATGCACTCTCACTCTCGCACTAACTCACTATCACACTCACTCTCTTACGTTCCCGCTCAATAACTCACAAGCATTCAATCTCACGCTCACATTCACTATCTTACTCATACTCATTGTCTCACTCGCTCACTCACATGCACTCTCACACGCACTTTTGCTCTCCTGCTTACTCTCTCTCACATTCACTTCGACACTAACTCTCAAACTCATTCACACTATCTCACTTACACTGTCTCTCACTGAATCTCACTCACATACACTCTCGCACTCTCCAACTCATTCTCTCACTCTATCTCACTCTCACACTCTTACTCTCCCGCTCAATAACTCTTACATGCATTCACTTTCACACTCACTAACTCGCACTCACTCTCTCACTCGCTTTATTACGCTCCCACTCACTCTCATTAAATCCCCCACTCACTTATTCTCACATTCATTCACACTCACTCACACTCACTCTTTCATTCTCACTCAATCAATCTGTCTCATTCGCACTCACTCACTATCACACTCACTGTAACTCTCTCACTCACGTTCACACACATTCACTCTGACACCAACTCTCTCACTCTCCCATGAACTCTCACAACATCAATCTCACACTTTCACACTCACTCTCACACTCACATCCCCTCACACACTGAATCTCACACTAACTCTCAAACTGACTCCCATTTAGTCTCAATCACTCATGCTCACTCACTAACTCTGATACTCACCTTCACACTATCTCAATCTCATGCATTCTCACACTTTCTCACTCACATTATCTCTCCCACTCACTTGCATACTCACTCTCGTTCTCACACTCCCTATCTACTCACACTCACTGTCTCGCTCAAACTCTCACTCACTTTCACACTCAGCATCACACTCACTCTCAATCTCTCACTCTCTCATGTACACTCCTTCACTATAACACTCACTAACTTTTACACTCACTCACTCATACTCTCCCACTCACTCTGACACATTCACAAACTTTTTCACTCAAGTCTAACTCACCAGTCACGCAACGAATCGTTGGGGGGTCACGTGGCCACTCGTTGAGTGGGAGGGGTCTGAGGGTCTGACGCAACGGAAACAGAGGGGCGTGGCCATAGCCGTGGAGGAGAGTGACGTCACTGCACACGTGACTTCCGTGTAGTGAGACGTGCAGAGAAGGTAGCTGCAGTAGCAGCACAAAGAGCTGAGCTCGTGTTACTATTCTTTACGGCGATTGGAAACGAGGAGGAGGCACGGTGAGACTCCATCTCACACTCACCCACTCACTAACTCACTCACACACTCTTAAAGGCACTCTAACATTCACTGTCTCTCTCACTAACACTCACTCTTTCACTAAAACACTCACTAACTCTCACACTCAATCACTCTCACTCAAACTCACTCTCACACTGACTCTAACACTCACATTCACAAACTTTCTCACTCAAGTCTTACACTCACGGCAAGAACCGTTGGGCGGTCACGTGGCCACTCGTTGAGTGGGGAGGAGAGATAGGGGCGTGGCCATAGCCGTGGAGGTGAGTGACGTCACTGCACACGTGACTTCCGTGTAGTGAGACGTGCAGAGAAGGTAGCAGCAGTAGCAGCACAAGTTGCCGAGTTCTTGTTGCGATTCTTTACGGGGAGTGGAGACGAGGAGGAGGGGGCACGGTGAGACTCACGCTCACTCACACACTGTCCGACTCGCTGTTTCACTCTCAACCTCTGTCTCACACTCACTCTATCACTCTCACATACTCTCACATTCACTAACGTACTCATTCTCTCTCACATGCACTCTCTCACTCTCCCACTCACTCTCACAGTAACTCACTATCACACTCACTCTCTTACGCTCCCACTCAATAACTCACAAGCATTCACTCTCATGCCCACATTCACTATCTTACTCATACTCATTGTCTCACTCGCTCACTCACATGCACTCTCACACACACTTTTACTCTCCTGCTCACACTCTCTCACATTCACTTTCACACTAACTCTCAAACTCATTCACACTATCTCACTTACACTGTCTCTCACTGAATCTCACTCACAGACACTCTCGCACTCTCAAACTCATTCTCTCACTCTAACTCACTCTCACACTCTTACTCTCCCGCTCAATAACTCTTACAAGCATTAACTTTCACACTCACTAACTCACACTCACTCAATCACTTACTTTATCATGCTCCCACTCACTCTCATTAACTCCCCCACTCATTTTCACATTCATTCACACTCACTCACACTCATTCTCTCATTCTCACTCACTCAATCTGTCTCACGCGCACACACTCACTTACTATCACACTCACTGTAACTCTCACTCACGTTCACACACATTCACTCTGACACTAACTCTCTCACTTTACCATGCACTCTCACAACATCAATCTCAAACTAACTTTCACACTCACTCTCACACTCACACCCCCTCACACACTGAATCTCACACTCACTAACTCTCAAACTCACTCACATTTATTATCAATAACTCATTCTCACTCACTAACTCTGATACTCACCTTCACACTATCTCACTCTCAAACTCATGCACTTTCACACTTGCTCTCACTATCTCACTAACTCTAAAACTCACGCACTCTCACACTCAATCTAATCCTTACAAACACTCACGCTCACTCACTCTCTCATAATCACTTTATACTTTCATGCTCACTATCAGTCACACAGGGTCGGCATCGTACCCACAACTTCCTGCATCCAGACTAATAGTCTACTGGTCGACTCATGGAACACTGGTAGACTACTAGTCCACTGGTAGACTCATGCACATGGACAACTGCCACTGGGAGTTCCCAATGGCTGGACCACATAGCAACTTCGCCCCATATTGCCAAAGCCTGGCCTTCCTCACTGTGGAACCCAGGCCCTCAGCGATGTTGGCTCATTGCTCACTTACTGCACTTTCTCCAACAGATTGCTAAAGTTTTGATTTAAAGCTTTCGTAACTGCAGTAATTCATATTCTTAGTTATTTCGGTAAAGTCACGTTGAAGGGAAACAATAAAATAATAAAATATATATAAAACAATACAAATTCTCACGACGTTTTTATTGTTTTATATATATTTTATTATTTTATTGTTTCCCTTCAACGTGACTTTACCGAAAGAACTAAGAATATAAGATTGCTAAAGGTTATACCGGGTGACCTGCATCTTTGTCTGTGTGTGTAGATGGCCAAGGCTGAAGAGAAAGTGGGCTCAAGGAGCGGCGTGCAATGGAGTGCGCTGCCCACATCGGACGGCGTTGCCATCGCCAGTAGTAAAACCCCACGAGGTGATAGATATGATTAGAGAAGTCATGGTGGGGGACGTCATGGTGGCCATAGTTGAAAACAAAAACAAGCATGTGAATGGTTATGGAATAAAAATGTTGTGAGGCAGAGTGGCACAACAGGAACACTCCTCGTGCATTTCTCTTTGGAGTCGGGATGATCTCCCCCTGCTCTACATGGGATTCCTCCAGGCTCTTCAGTTTCCTCCCACAGCGAAAGAAAATTATTAAAACATCCCAATGCAAAAAAATATAGTGTTGGTGATTATATGCAGTTCAGGCACTCAGTGGAGCTTTCTTGGGTAAACAAGTATCATACATTTTATTATAATTTCAGCAGGAAGGGCCAAATAAGCAGCCAGGTTATGTTTCATGGGTGTCCTGCGATCGTTTGGATGTTAAACAAGTCTTCATGTCAAAAGCGCGGTTACATAGGTGGTGATACCAAATTTGTCATTAGTCTGTTCTTCACATGTTACAGGAATACGGAATTGGTTAAAAATCCAATGGAAAAAAAAACACTACATTGCTTAATGAATAAATTAAAGAAACGAAAACGTTTTATTTAACAAAACAATATTAAAACAATAGTACAGTATTAATCATCATCATTGTTCTTATGTTTGCAGAAATCTTGAAGCTCTTTGGGGATTTCCTGACCCCCACCGAGAGAAGCGAGGTCCTCACCGTGAATAACATCTGGTATTTCGGCGTCCATAACAAAGGCTTTGGCACCCAGAACCATGGCTACGATGATGTCTACAACCATTATGTCTCGGTACGGCTCTCCTCAGGGCACGTAACAAGTGGAGAACATACAAAGTCTGCACACTGACAAACACCATGATCATCTGCAGAACAGGAGAACAACATACCCGACACATTCACACAATCACTCTTACACATGCCATACAAAATATTGCATCCATACTCAGTGACTGAATGAGCAGTGACTGGATCAGTATACTTAGTTGATGTGATTGCTCCGCAGGTCGAGCATGAGCACCTCAATTTCCGGTATGAGGTGCTGAAGAAGGTGGTCGGACCTTACAGCCAGATCTTCAAATGCCGTGACCACAAGACCAACACCCGAGTGGCTGTGAAGATGTGGAGACAGTCATTCAGGTAAGACTTCACAATGGCTTGCATGGAGAAGGCAGGACAGTAAATCAATTCGATCTTTACGTGGGTAGTGTTATGGTGCTCATATGTGTGGGTTTTCTCTGGATTTATGTTTAACTTCTTTCGCGCCGTACGTAGCCCACTGTATTAATCGCAGGTGTGATGAAGGACAACTGTCTTTTAGAGCGAGCGACATACTGTGTGTTACAAGGGTCACTTCTTGTAATTAATATGAAGCTGTGGATTTCCGCTGTGCAGTGCTGAGGAAGACCACAGCCAGTGGATGGAGTACCACATCTTGCTGCAACTTCAGGGCTGGGCTAATGATGATGTCAACGTTGTCAGAATCCTCGACTTTTTCACCTTCAGGGGTCACAACTGCCTCGTCATGCAGCTCATACCGAAGTACGTACCCCGCTGTCTGAGCAGCTCAACAGAGACATGCAAAGCTGGCTGCTCCACTCCATTTTCACCTCCAGACTTGCTCATTTTTCTACAGCCACGCCAACAACCGGCAGTGTGGCGGCAGTGGTAACACCCGTGCATCATACCATGAGGTTGGTTTCGATTGCTGACTCGGATATAAGTGTCTGTGTGGAGTTTGTTCTCCCCTTGTTCTGCATGGAATTCCTCTGCATTCTCCGGATTCCTCCAATAGCAAAACACTCGCACACAATTTAACTGGCATCCGACAAATTTGCCAATTCTGAGGAAATACCTTAAAATTACTCAGTTGGGATTACACATAGGAACAATGTCACCCCGACAGGAGAACTTGGCAGGACCCTCGGGAAAATGTGTTTACATTTAGTGAGGCTTCCATATGATAAACGAGTATAATAATTGTTATTGTTGACTCAGCCCTTTACAGGATGGCACTGACTTTGTGTTGTTGTCTCTTTAACAGAAGACGTCTGTTAAGTGCCGTTGATTGCACGGCACCCCAGCACATGGAGATGACAATGGTGAAACTCTTCACCAAGTCCATTCTCAAATTCCTCATTCAACTCCATGCAAAGGGAATCGTGCATGGGGACATCAAGCCGGTGAGTGGAGACCACATTCAGCGCAACTGCAGCATTAATTTGAGTTCCCGTTCGGGGCTCGTCCTCGTAACACCTAGACCCATTGATCAAAGCGTTAATGCATCCACTCTGTCAAACTGTCAATAGCTGTGGGTCATGATAACTGTCGTACAGAGGGTTATGTATGGGTGAAACTTAAGTTTAAAGGTTTTTTGCTATTAGGGACTCGCACAAGAGAAAACCAGACACGTCGAAACAAAGCAATGCCCAAATCATGGAGACACAAACCAGTGCAAGTAAAAGGAGGCTTTGCAAATAAGCAGCTGTGCTTTAACCTGACAGCTGCCCACCTGTTTTCATGCTGCTCATGCGCATGAGAATACGTTACCAACTTCATGCATGTGCATGCTTCTGCCTAACTCACACTCACAGCTACAAGTTCCGTTCGGCCCTCTTGTAACAATCGTTATTCAGGTATGATAAGAGCGCCCTCTTTAATGCCGGGTACCCAAAAGTGCTCTACATGAGATTATCGATTGGCATCATCTCATCTAAATACATTTGAATTGGCACCCCATTGGCAGCTGTCAGAAAACATTCTCTTGAGTCGCTTTGAATAACCTTGGCAAAAGCATGTCATCTCCAATTCCCCTTTTAATATTTATTATGGTAATTTTGCTACATGATCAATCTTCTGCAGGCTGAATAGTTGTGCATGCCTGTAATTCAGCACCGTAGAGCCGCAGGTTGGTGGATCACACCAATGGTGTGAAACATCATCTGTGGCCCCTCCTCGTGCCTCAGAGTGGTTATCGCTCTTCCAGATAGAGTGAATACTGCATGGCATTGGCGTATTACAAGTTGACATTATTATCATAACCTCTAAATGTGAATATCTTCTGCTGCCCATCGTCTAGAGGAACATGTCGATTAAAGAGCCTGGGGCAGGGACCATCCGGATGATGAGTTTTGAAAACAGCTTTTTGGTGGGACGCCAACGTGAGTCGTGAGTGTGTGGCTGAGTGTGAGAATGTGTGTTTATGCAGTTTGAGGAGCAGTAGTGTAGTGGTTAGCACACTGCACAACTAAACTGGCGACCCAGGTTCGAGTGGCAGTTTTCTGAACCGGTCATGGGCCTCCCCTAGGTAGACTCAGTCTCAAATGAGTACCTGGTGTGGTGTGTAAACAATGCCACTCAGGAGACAAAGGCGGCCAGGCACGGTGCAGGCCACGCACCCCCTTCAAGTTTCGTTCCAGACTTCATAGGTTGTCACTAATTGCACTTGCCCCAACAATGTCTAAGGCTACACGGGGGAACTTTTCTTTGTTTATGCAATGAGGAACCGTAGTGTTGGGGTTAGTCAACAGCACTACAATCCTGGTGACTGGAGTAAAATGCGCGTTTATGAATATCTGAACCAGTCCTGGGCCTCCCCTAGGTCGACTCAGCCATAAATGAGTACCATGTGCGGTATCTAGGCACCACCACTTTAGGAGACAAAGGTGGATGGGCGTGGTGCTGGCCACCCATCCTCGTGTGTGTTGTTCAGGCCTTCATTAGGTGCTCGCTAAAAGCAAATTCCAGAGAAATTTGTTAAAGGCTATATGGGGACGTTTTGTGTGTGTGTGTGTACACGTGTTTGCATCTCTGTGCCTGTGTGTGTGCATGTGTCTAGACCTATGGGTGAGTACATGTGTTTTTATACTTGTTTTTTCGTGCCTGTGTGTTGCTGTTAAAGGCTATATTGGTGATGTTTGTCTTTTGTAATTCACAGGTTCACAGATTTTTTGTTCCCACGCGTACCTTGCCCCAGAGGCGTACCTGGGCCACGTGTCATCTTTCCCGGTTGACATGTGGGGACTGGGTTGTACAGTGGCCGAGTTGGCTACTGGACGCATCCTCTTTCCGGCCATCAACAAACACGACCAGCTCCCGTGTTATATGGAGGTATTGCCCACACAGCAGTAACACTGACAATTCCGTTATTGTCATCAATTTCATGACCAATTTGCTCTTGAAATTGCCCAACTCAGTCATTGCTTCTAACCACGTTCACTTCTCAGCGAGTATTTCCGCATCAAGGGTATTAACATAATATTCAAAATTGGTATGACCAATAGAACATGCGACAGGAAATAGTTCCTTACAATTCCCTGAGCAGACCACTTAAGTCGTCTCTTCTGTGAGAAAGAGGCATACAAGTGCTCGCGACTGGTTGCAGGGTTGTCCACACACAAGCTACTGAGTTGCATACAACCGCGTGACAGAACCAATTACTCAGGCGTAGACCCGTCAAGGTAACCGTGAGCAGAACGCATAGATTTTTAGAGTTGGTGTTATGACTCGTGATAGATTATTGCGTGAGGCCACGGATTGGCCCAATGTCACCCTAAAACCACCTGAAAACAATACAAGTGCTCGCGACTGGTTGCAGGGTTGTCCACACACAAGCTACTGAGTTACATACAACCGCGTGACAGAACAAATTACTCAGGCGTAGACCCGTCAAGGTAACCGTGAGCAGAACGCATAGATTTTTAGAGTTGGTGTTATGACTCGTGATAGATTATTGCGTGAGGCCACGGATTGGCCCAATGTCACCCTAAAACCACCTGAAAACAATTTGAATTGTCAGATGAACAAGCATTTATCGCGCCAATTATTGTTGTTTCATCTCAACTGCTTGTAATGAAGACAATTGTCACAACCATATAAGCAATTTCAAATGAAACCACGGGACCCATAACCTCCGCTGTGAATGAGGCAGATGGTGCATTGTATTTTCTGGTTTAATACTGCAGGAAATACCGGGGCAGTCACTGGGATTGATCGGTGAACTTCTGCAACGTGCTGTGTACGCGGTATTGCTGGGCCATGCCAATAACACTGCCGTGTGCCTGCATGCGATAACCATCGGGAGTGGTAGCTGAGTGGTTAGCGCCCTGACCGTGTTGTGTTGAATGTTGGACCAGTCCTTGGCCTCTCAAATATCGACTCAGCATTAACTCAATACCTAGAGTGATTTGTAAAATAGCTACTGCGGAGTGGCTTTGGGTGCTGTGCCATCATCGGTAGGTGCTCACAGACAAAACATGCCACACAAGTGTGTCAATACTGTATGGTTGATCATTGTCTCTTTGTAAATTGTGTGTAGACCCTCGGGATGCCTCCTCAGAATTTGATTGATGGCGCGCCTGGGAGAAACAAGTACTTTGGTGAGTGAAGGGGCGAGCGAGGGAACCGCGTTAAGTTTGAGGCGAAGCTGGGTATGTTAAGGGTTTAGTGGGGCATTACTTTGCATAGTTAACTACTTCCACACGTGTTTTTGCAGTCAATATAATTTGTAATGCTTTTTTGGGGAAGGGTTAGGCCTCATGGTGATCTGCCCAAATTTGTGTCATTAAGGCTCTCCACCACCTGACACAGGCAAGCAAATTAAGGTACCATGAAGTGCAAGCGATTAAAGAGACGCCAGTTGTGACTAGTAATCATTATTTTAGTAGAATCATCTGTAATGTGAAGGGCAATGCTCAAAACCACGATTAGCAATCAGATCGGACGTTTTTGGGAAGCTGCAGAGGCGAGGAGACGTTTCCTCCCTCACCTGCAATGTAGAAGGTCGTCACGTGGATCCCCACCCTGGCTGCTGTACATTGCGGGAACATATCTTCTCCCCTTTGCCTGGTCGCCTCTGAAGAAGAGGCAATAGTTCAGTGGGCTTTACCTGGTAAAAAATAATGTTTTGCTTGAAAGAGATTAAATCACAGTTAAAATAGCTCTTCTTTGTTTACCTTTAGGATTTATCATAGTTAATAATGATTGATTGCACTTGGTATTTGCGCTATCATTCTTAGAATGTAAAGCTATCACAAAGGAAGGTGCCTGCTGTGATTCACAGACACCAACTGCAGTCATTTCACAGTAGCGGGCATAACGCCAGCACGGTAATTTTATTACTTCACAAGGTCTGTAATGTCCCATTTTAAATCAAACAGCGCAAAGCATCATATGGTTAATACTGAAGTAGTAACCAGGGCGGCTTGCAGAATTTGAACCGTGAATTTCTGCAACAAGCGGTAAAAGCACTCCCACTGATCTATGTCAGAGCACTAAACGATTTTGTTTTTGCGCTGTGGGTGTACAAGGGTCCTGTGGTTTGCTGTGATGTTTTACCTGATCTGCATCGTTCCTGCAGATGGTTCGGGGATGCCTTTGATGTCCGGACAAAGCAGGGTCCCAGGCAGTCACCCCCTCTACCTGGCACTCGGGAGCCAGGACACGGAGTTCCACGACTTCATTAGCCGCTGCCTGGAGTAAGAACACACCCCCGCCCCCACCATACCACCGAGAGGTTTTCCCATTCAGTCACCTGGTAAAAAGAAAAAAGTTTAATAGTTTAACATCACTTGCGAACGCTCCTCTTTGATCACTAGCTCCACCCTCTATTCTGATTATTCTTCATCTTCCAAGCCATATCTCCCATTAAACACCATTGTCCATAGTCTGGCATGTAAAAACATCCACTTGCATAGAGACTCACAGACTCATGTACTTACATGGTCCATGCACGTGTAGTGACTCAGTCGGAGACAGGGTTCTTAAGGGAACTTCCTTATTCCACACGTCAGGAAACCACATGTGCCCTGCGTGCCTACGCACTAGTCACACATCCATGTTCTTCAAGGTACTACCTAGCTGGAACAGTCTGCAGGCTGTCTAGCTTGCGGCGTCTAAGGTGGTCAGAGACGGAACCGACGAAGGTGACGAACGGCGACACGGCGAGGGGATCCACTTCCAGCAATAGCCCCGAGCTCCCGTCCCGGGCCCCCTTTCATTCGCCTGGCGTGGCCTCGCCCCGCCCTTGCCACGCCCTCTTTCTCGAACCTACTAGCGGGTTATCAGGCTTCAGATCGATTTATTCCTGGGCTTCCCTTTAGATATTTCTCTGCTGATGTGTGTACTGACCCCTGCTGCCTCTGCCGCTTCCTCGTCAGCAGCCCGCGTTATTACACTACACACGTAAAGAGAGACCCATATACTGTCATACACTCACATATTCCATACCAATATCCGCCATTAGTCCCGAAGTGTGTGAGTTCCTCACACAATCCAGCCTGGTTAAACCTAGGATTGATCGAAGGAAGGCCAGCCTAAACGTCCCTAACAGGCACAGATGTTCCTTTAGAGGGGTCCACGTTTGACAAGCATCGAGAAGAGAGGGCATGACTGTGCCCGAGAAGATCTGAAGCTTCGTGTGGAGCGACAAACTAGGTAGCTTCCAAACAGCATTGCTCAGCCGATAAATAAACGCCGCCAAACTGCGGATTCAGAGTGAAACCTCTGCTGTCGAACCGGAGCTGGTCATAAGCACACTGGCCAGGTTTGGGAAACTCTCCACTCTCTCCACAACTGTTCCATGACCAACAGGGAGCTGAGGGTGTGGAGTGTATGATGATACAAAATACCCAGGCAAGTGCTTAGTTTTGGTGCAACTGATGGTAAGGCCACACCTCTCAGTAGTACACTCCAGGTTCAACAGCTGTGCTTCCAACTTCGCCTCTGAGTGAGCAGCAATCACCAGATGAGCATACATAACTTGGTTGACCAATAGGGAGCCATTATTTGACCCCACCCAGGCATCGATCAGCCATCAAAGGCTCCACAGACTACGTGGTCAAAAAAAATGTTAAATAATGTGGGAGGCAGAGGACATCCCGTTCACACCCCAAGGTAAACAGGGAATGGCTCTGACTTCTGGCCACGTAGCTTTACCTGAGATTGCCCACCATCATGAAGGCCCTTAATGTTCACACACTTACATAGAGACCCACAAACTTGCATACACTTACATCAGCCATACATTTACAAATACATAGACAAATAGACTCGCATGCACTGACGTGGTCCATACACATATAAAGACCCAGACTCATACACTCACATGGTCTATACACTTATAGAAACCAATAGACTCACATACTCTTACATGAAAGCCCTTAAAAGGAACATATATCGATATATGTATATCATTTATGTGGAGGGGGCTCGGTTAAGGATGCCACTGGGCAACGCCAGGCTACACGTACCTTGAGGCTACTGGACAGTTGTAAGCATTGACCCTCCAACAACAATTGAGGGTGGTGGAGCGATGTTCACAATGAGCGGACCACCAGGGGGACAAATACATCAAGGTGGCACAGTGGGGAGAACAGAAGGTTCATCTGCCAGTCATCACCAATAGTGGAGGATTTATGCTTCTCCCTTTTTTATATAGTCAGGTCCTGCAATTTTTTTTATCAGGGCTCTATGACACAATCAGCCACTATTGAGTCATGACATAGCCAACATCGTGGCTTATAGGTTAGATTATTGCAACTTACTAGTCTACGGGACGTCTGGAAATAGCATTAGGAAGCTGCAGCATGTACAAGATTCTTTGCAAGATCCAACCATGTCCGTCCAGTGTTCACGGAGCTGCATTGGATTACACTTGCTAAACGAATACATCACATTCAATACACACAAAGTGCTTACCACAAATGAACCATAATGAACCACAACACCATTGGGGCACTTAACGTTTAAATATAGATTGAAAACTACTTTTTTAACTCATGATTGAATGTAGTTTGTTGTCCTTCACCCGTACCTGCAATTGGCACGGTTGGCTATGTACGGTGCGAAATAAGTTGAACATACACACGTAAGTTAATGGACACAGTAAGATAAAAAAATGCACATAAATCCTTACATCATTATCACCCTTGCCACGTGTGCCACATATTTCTGTGTGTCTCAACAGATGGGATCCAGCTCTGCGGATGACACCAGCAGAGGCACTGGCGCACAGCTGGCTGAGGGATGAGGAAATTCCGAGGGATGAGGAAATTCCGAGGGATGAGGAAGTGCCGAGGGATGAGGAAGTGCCGAGTCAGTGTGTCCCTGTTGTGGACACATCAATCCACTCAGAGGCATCCGCCAAGGAGGAGAATAGACAGTGGGGTGAACCCCTGCAGAAAGAGAAGAAGAAGTCACGTCTGGTTCGAGCATACAGGGCCGTATGCTCATTCTTCCGTGGCTTTAAGAAATGCACCGCATGCGACCATAATGCTCATCCTGGGCACGTACACATTCCACACACCGTATACACACACGCTCGCCTAAGCGAATACATGAGCAACTTCCGGTGCTAGCATCAATATCAGATCCCATCTCCTGAGTTTTTTACCCCCACACATTTAGAATAAATCCCCTCTTAACGACGGTAATTGGTTCCATGAATACGGTCATTTAACCAAGTTAAATGTT